GAGGGATTTGAAGAAGATGGACAATCGCCTCTGAGGTGCACAGATAAAGGGTGACAACAGACATAATTTGAAGAATTCTGACTAGATGTACATGGAAAAAAATCTCTATAAGGGTAGTCAAATAACGGACCAAGTCCCACAGAGAAGATGTGGAATCTCCATCTGTGGAGATACTTAGAACTCAACCAAACATGTCTCTGAGCAAGTAACAGGGTAAGTCCTTGGCTGGACTGGATGATCTCCAGACCTTCCCTCCAACCCAAATTTTTGTATGATCCTATGATTGTGACTACATAAGACCTCTTTCACATTCACATGAATCATGTGATGCCACTGTGTGAGCTTATATCAGTCCCTTGATATCATAATATCACTCTTGTGGGGTTCATTTCTGTTCTTATTTTATACTATGTCAACCCAATTGAAAATTTTTAAATCACTACAATGTGTATGCATGACCATGATCATATGTTAAATGCTATATCTTTTACTGTTTTCTGGGGAGACCTTACCTTTTACATTTTGATAACAAGGTTCCTATTTTTTCACAGCAAATGTGGCTTTATAACTAATGAAAGTGGTGCCACCTGTATTATAGGGAGTTTTGCCATTTTTGGCTTATCTAGGTGGCCTCTTATTCAAGTGGAGTTACTTTGGAAGTGTCTTGGAATATGTATATCAGTTATAGGCGGCTCGTATGCATTTCTTCTTGGGTGAAATGGAAAATTTAATTATACGAAAAAAATGCAAATTGCTGCCAACTGTGTTAACTGTGAGAGAGTTGCATTATCTTCTAACATAAATTGTCAGTGAATTGAAGAAAAGACGTTTTGGAAGCTGATCTGATTACTGTCAGGGAAAGTGCTCAAACTCAATTGTTGGCAAATGTCCAGTACCCATCACTGAACGATCATCACCTCATCATTCAGTCTTCTCAACTGACATGCAAAACAACATCCAAATATTCATTGCACATCTGTGCTGGACAGATTATGCATTAGCAATTCAAATGAATTCAATGTACAGGCAGTTTCTGTAAAGGCGTCTGTTTGGGTGAGATGCCTTGTTGTCTGGGATGGATAATAAGGCAACTCTGTCTAATCTTGGAGAACAATCAACCCATCTTGAGAAGGTGACTGACTACGTATGCTCTTGCCCTGACAGCACTAGAACAATGGCCCCATAATGCACTTGACTCAGCTGGTAATAAAATCTACTTTTGATTAGCAGCCATGGCTTGTGTCAATCACTGCATGATGTACCATTGTCCTCTGGTCCTGAACACAGTTTATTTACAGAGAAACAAAAGCTTTTTGGATATGGCTGCTGCCCAGAGATTGCAAAATAGATTGAGCTGTCAGCCTCACACACTAGATGAAGATTAATGAGTTGTGCAGACAATAAATATGAAGCAATGACCATAAATATGGTAATAGGTATTATCCATATACACTATAATTGCTACAAAAATTAAAAAATAGCGTAAACGAAATAGGTCAGAGGGTGACAGATAGATAATCTTGGATGCTGAAGATCTTTGGTTCAGTCAGATTCTCTACAGGTTTATTCCCTTCAATTAGACCCTTCAAAAGAGTAATTGTTTAAAAGCTGTTTGAATAATCTCTTTTGAAACAGAGGTTTATGGGAAAATGTTTATGAAAAAGTGACTTCAATGGACATATTATTGGAATGAAAAAGGTGACTACCAAAAGCAGAGATTAATGTCTGTGATCAGCTGGGCTTCACTGTAAGGTAAATATCTCTTAGTAGCACACTAGTGGGAACTGCAAGGAAAATATACTGAAGAGACACAACAGTTTATATCCACACACACAAGTAATTAAGGTCATTCCAAGTAAAATACAGAAGAGTTGACTGCACATTTGGTTGCATTGGTTTGCTAAGTGTTTGCAACTTAGAACACTTTTTTTTTTTAATTGAATGTTCCCCATAGCTCAAATTTTTAGAGTATTTCCAATCAAGTCTCTATTTTTCCAAATCATTTCAAAGAGCACACAGTCTAGATTTTTTTACACCTAAGGATTTCATTTGAACCCAAAACTCAGAAAGTTAAACATCAAACTGTATTAGCTACCTATTTAAGTGCCTCAGCACCTAAGGCTACTGAAATTGTAGTGACACTGAAAATAAAGACAGTCCTACTCTTGGTATTCATAGCTTTAACTCTCTGTTCTCTCAGGCTTAGAAGTGCCACTGAATGCTTTTCAGGTCAGCTCACAGCACCAATCTACTCTCCTCAGATTTTTACCTTCTGGAATGGGGAAGCTAGCTTACCCAGATACTCTCCCGTTTAATTTACTGTTATAATGTCAGGCTTGGTGAAACACATTAGTTGTTTACTCTTTCCTTCCATACTTTAACTAGAAGTTGCATCAATTTGGCTCTTAAATTACCACTGCTTGGATTTTTGGCTAACAGTCCACAAGCCTTACTGCTTCTGTACCAGTCTCCTTGCGAACACAGCTGAACGTCAATTGTGCTTGCCTAACATCTTGGAAGTTGCCCTTTCTAATTAAAAATGCCACTATAACAACGAAAAAAAAAAGAAAAAAAGAAAAAGAAAAAAGATAGGGGATCATTTAGACAAATCTTTCACATAAAGCTGGCAGGTGAAAGGAGAAGCATGTCTTTCTGAATTGGTAGAGAGAGGGGACTCCTGGAAGCTGCAGGCTCAAGGACAGTGTTCTTATTCCCTTTCCTGCTTCAGCAGTGACACTAGGTCTTTTTAAATTGGAGGCTGTGATGTTCATGACACATGTTGACAGGGCACAGCATGATACTGTCCCACCAAGGGAGGTGAGCCCAGCCGATCCAGAGATGATAAGCAGGTTGAACCAAGAGTCCAAATCATCAGACAAGTTTGTAGAGACAGGTCCAAGGTCAAGCCAGAAACATGAGTCAAAAAATTGTGTTCAGGTCTGGTGATAGTAGCCATGGTCAATCACAGCCCAGTGACTGCTGGGCAAGTCTATCCTTGCTAACCAGGCATGTCCAAGGTCAAGCCATGAAGGCAGGCTGTAGCTCAGCCTGGATCAATGAAGTATGGCTGTGATGGAGCTGCAGACAAGTGCACTGACAGCATTGTTCAGGCAGGGACTGAAGACCCAGGGGAGGCTGACCACAGCTGTTAAGACCTAGTGGCAGACTCAGCCCTGACACAGGTACAAGAGACATTGTTTTCATTCATTTTCATACAGGAGATTGTCCTAAGTCTTCATAATAAGCTGAAAACAAGTAAAAAGCAAACACCTTCCAGGTCAGAACTTCTCCATAACTTATATCTGCTGTGCCGCTACAGTAAGAGCATGGAGGTAAGCAGAACTCAGCACTTAGCACTGTATCATCTGTGCCTACTCACACATGCCTCATCCAACTCACTGGAACCACATGGGAGATTTGAGAGTCACCTCCTTCCTGACCAGTACCTTCCCTCTCCTTATTACACTGAGTTTCTTCGTCTTGTTTTCATGAGACTGCTAGTAATTTCTTCTTTCCCTGCTTATTTACTGGTGTCTCTAACAATCTGAATTGCCTTGAAGCACTTTCCTTGCAATAAAACTTGCAAGTTTTAATTATTTTTAGTTAAACAACTTTGTGTGTATCCATTATGAATTGTGGTTTTGGACTGAGTTAAATGTTGTCTGCAGCTTGTGAAGCCTTCATTTCCCATGGATTTGCCAGACTTTACTATCATTTCCTAATGGGCCTTTTTGGAAATTAAATAAATCATATCAACAAGGCACCAAAATATTTTACCAGTTTTAAAGGAAGGATCTGTAGCAACACGTGGCATTTTTGGTTTTATTGTGACTTTGAAGAAGGCCTATAGCATTCATTGTCCTATTCTTACATGGAATTTTACCTGCATTTAAGCCTCAACTTCAGCTATTTTATAGCATTAAGTAATTAAAAATTATAAATGAGGGACCTGAGAAATTATTGGGTTAGAGATGCATCATAATTACAGAAGACCTCATGCAAGCAGAGTAGAACACAAACAAACAAAAAACCCCATTAAAATTGAAGGAAACTAACATTCATGAATTAAAGAAAAATTGAATGAAAGAAAAGCGTTAGAAGAGCATTGCTATTCAGGGGTACATGGGCCAGATATCCTATTGCTCAAATAAATAGCACAGAGGAGAAGAGAGGAAAGGACTTTGTATACTTTGTTCTATAACCCACCACGTACAAGATATAGATACTATACTACCATGAAATGCTATAGTTTTATTCTGTGTATTTCCACTTAGAGAACCATTCCTGTGGTAGTGTGACCTAATGAGATATTCCTCTTTACCTAAAGGAGGAGGTCTATGGATTTTTAATGAGCCTTATTTAAACTACTGGCTAAAAAAAGCTGTGATAAAGGAGTATGTGCCATTTGCAAAGGCCTGTTCATTAAAGATGGAGGCTCTGCTTTAACAGGTTTTGTATGAGGAAGAATAAAACATCTGTGTCAATCTGCTCATATGACGCAAGGTCCCCTCACAGCTCCTTACACATAGCAATTAATTCCAATCACCCATTGTTAGCTGGGTTCTGGTTACCAGCTCTCTGTAAACCAGTAGTTTTTAGGGGTAGCTGTACCACAGCTGAACTCTGGGTGCCATAACCAATTCAAGCTGCAGTTTCTGCATGCCACCACTTTGCTGCCTTTTTGTCTCTTGACTTTACTCAGAGTTGTATGAATTCTTAAAATGAGGGGCTATCTCCTACATGTGCAATTCTGTGCAATAGGGTGCAATGCAAAAGGGTGAAGAAACAAAGTTTTCAGCCACATCAGTTGCTCAACTATGATTCATGCACTACTAGTTTCCTTTAGTATCATTTCCCCAGAGGAAGTTAGTTGGTTTGCCTAAATTTCAACCTGGCAACAGCAATAAAAAGGCCTATTCATAAAGTTCAGTTTCATTTCCTGGCTGAGTTTCAGTTTCGTTTCTTGGCTGAGTTTCAGTTTCTATTCTTCCTGGTCACTGCAGCAATTTCATTTCTTCACTGTTAGCTAGAGAGTGTATAAAAAGACTGGCTTTGCAGTGAGCACTGAGCCTTGCAGTGCTTCACTGGACTTTCACCACCAGACAGCAAAAATGTCTGACAAGAATGTCCGCAATGCTGGTTTCACTCCTTCTGGGATCTCACAAGGATCGCTTGCTTCATCAATGATGTCCCATGAAGCGAAAGCATCTGGGGGAGGTGTGCATTCTGGAGGCCCCACTTCTACTCTCCAGGAAATGGGTATGAGAAATTCAGTGTGGGAGTGTGTGTGTGTGTGTGTGGTTTTGCAGTTCAGTGCACAGGATCAAACAATGTTTTTCTCCTTGAAAATAAACTTGCCAAATAATCTCTTCTCTCCTACATTCCTGCATTGCAATGGAGATATAAGATTCCTGTATTTAACTATGTGTTATGAGTGGGATGTTATTAAGGGTGTTTTCTGTGTATCCACATATGCACGAATGAACGCATACATATGTGGTATTCATGAGGTTTTGGATAGTGTTTATTTGAAGTTTGTGCTCTCTCTTCATTCTGCCAGGAATCATCAATAATATGGAGAGTCATGGTAGCAACGACACACTTATGCAAGAACATGATCTGTGTACCTATATTTCATATAAATTATCAGATTTTCCTTGCTCTTTAATCCCACACATCCATACAGGGAGAACTCATAAAACCTTATGCAAATGCTATAGCAGAGGGAAACTACCTGCAGTCCAAGAGTTGAATTCATGAAGGGAGTGTATATGCATCCTTAATAGCACGTATCTAAGTACTAAGTCATAGCTGCCTTTCACATGAGCTAACTCTACCAGGTGTTTGCTGTTCTGTTGCTGGTACAGAGCAGTCCCTGACCAGATGACTCTTAGCAGCTTGGCACTTGTTTAACCCCATATCCAGTGGGGTTCATGCACAAGGCGTTCTCCCTGCCAGACCTGCCTTTGTGAGCTGATTCAGCAGGCATCCTCAAAACAGGCATGACTCCACAGAGCAGAATGCCCCATAAAATTCTGCTTTACCCAGCAGCACAGTAATTAACTCTCTGATCTTGGATAAAGGCTTCAAAACTCTTTCTGCCTTGGGAGTCTTGGACCCACGTCCCATGTGTCAGAAGTATGCCAACTGGCAGACTGATTATTGGTCAAACATTGGTACTTTCCATAATAAGCAGGTAGAAATCTCCTGAAGGATGGAGTTAAACATGACTCCTCCTACCATAAAATTGGTGGTTGGCCAAATGAGCTGGCCAGGGTCCAGATTTGGGGCATCTTTTAATGGTAAAAAGTGTGATACAATTGATTGAGGGGAAATAAGTTGGTTTTTTCTTTAAGATATGATTTACACTGCTACCAATATTATTCATAGCATGAGACCCCCTAGACAGTGAGGGAATAAGCGACATAAGGGTCATTTAGAGACATACTGCACATGACTCCTGGGAGGCATTTTTTAATTTTTACTTTGTATGATCTGATCAGTGAGTTTCAGTTGCTGAATGCAGGGTTTATTGAATATTCAGTAGCAAAGAGCTTAAGGGATGGCAGCAGCCGAGGGACAGAATATTAGAGAGAGTCGGGAGAGGAGGAGGGCATAGAGAGCAATGTAGTGGGTTGACCCTGGCCAGATACCAGGTGCCCACTAAAGCCGCTCTCTCACCCTCCCTCTGCAACTGGACAGAGGAGAGAGAAAAAAACAGCTAAGAATTCATGAGTAGAGGAAAGAGCTGGGAGAGGTCAGTGACTGATCACCTTCATGGGCAAAACAAGACTCAAAGTGAGGATTGTACTTTTATTTATTACTAACAGGATAAGAGCCAAAGAGTGAGAAATAAAACAGTGTTAAAAATACCTTCCCCCCCCCTTCCTTCCGTGTTCTCCCTCCTCCCCCCCCAGCGGTGCAGGGGGACGGGAATGAGGGTTGCGGTCAGTTGTTGTTTCTGCCGCTGCTCAGAGAGAGGAGTCCTTCCCCTGCTCCCGTGGGGTCCCTCCCAGGGGAGACAGTCCTTGATGGACCTCTCCAGCATGAGTCCATCCCTCAGGCAGCAGCCCTTCCCAAACTGCTGTCCCATGGGTCACTCCTCCATGGGATGCGGTGCTTCATGAACGAGCTGTACCGACCTGGGTCTCCCACAGGCGCTGCAAGGCCTACCTGGGAAAACCCTGCTCCAACGTGGGCTTCCCTCTCCACGGGCCGCAGGTCTCCGGCAGGTCTCTGCACCCCGATGGTCCTCCATGGGCTGCAGGGGCACAGCTGCTCTACCACAGTCTTCACCACGGGCCCCAGGGGCCTCAGCTCTCCTGGAGCTGAGTGCCTGCAGTGCTCTTCCCCCTCCTTCTGCACTGACCTTGGTGTCTACATTGTTATTCCCATGTTCTCACTCTGCTCTTCCCTGGCTGGAATTTCTTCTGCGCAACAATCTTCTGTTCTTAAATATGTTATCACAGAGGCGTTACTATTACTCCTAATTGGCTCGGCCTTGGCCAGTGGCAGGAAGTCCGTCCTGGAGCTAGCTGACATTGGCTCCATGGAACAGGGGAAGCTTCTAGCAGCTTCCTACAGAAGCCACCCCTGTAGCCCCCCCGCTACCAAAACCGAGCCACAGAAACCCACTACAGCAGGAGAGCTGCTCTCAGGCACCACACTTCCTTAGCAGCAGAAATCCTGATACTGGGGAGATGACAGTTACTCACCCTAGTCCAGCTACTCTGGTCATTTGCTAGAGTCAACTGCAAAAGCTTGCCTTCTGTTACAGATAAGGGTGGTACAGCAGTTCTCAGCACACTCAGTAGCAAACACTTAGTGGTCATGCCTATAGAGAGTGTGAAGTTGTTGTTTCTAAACTAAAAGACTGAAGACTTGATAAGAGAGAAAAGCAGAGTAAACATTTAACCATGCCTAGTTTTATTCTTGCAACATCTGTATTAACCATAGACTTTTATGAAAACCACCATTTTGGTGAAGAGAAATCTGCATGACTCAAGGAAACCTTAGCTATGCCAACAGGAGATACTCCAAAAGAGCTTTTATCCATGTGGAAAATGCTAGCTCTGTAACATTGCCAAGACAGGTGTGAGCTTTGGCTCCCTGCAGCAGGAGAGCTTGCCACACATTCTTTGCCTGATTGAGAGCTAAAAGGGCCTGATTTCATTTCCGCAGGTGCTCACTGAAATCTCTCCAAACACATCTTCTTAACCTTTTCATTTAGACTGTAACCCTTCCTCCCCCCAGAACAAACATGCTCAAAGGAGCGGTTGATTCTTCAGCAGGGCATGAGTATTGTTCAGTATCACTTTACAGAAGATGTTATAACAAGCTCATCACCAAAATATTTGAGCATCCTCCAGGAATGCTTTAAGCATTATCAGTAACATTTGTCATCACTAATACTTTACTCCTTTCCCAGGAGAAGAAGAGTTTGCAATGGAACATTTTGCTTGGGGCTTACTTATACTGAGATGAAAAATATGCATATAAATTGGCCACTGGCTACTACAGCTTGTGGTGTTTGAATTTCACAGGTATCTATTACAGGTTTATGCTAGTGAAAGTGAAGTGAAAGGAACATGTCTGTCACGTGCAACAGTAAGTGGTGAGGTCTGCAACAATCCTTGGTTTCTGTAGGAGTTTGTTCCACAGTCCTCAGGCAGCTCCTTAGAAAACTGCAATTTCAGCAGAGGCAAACTGTTCTAAAACTGTTTTGGAGATTCAGGTTTATCAGAAACAGTCTGTGCAAGAGTCGTGGATTTTCTTTGTGTTCTGGGAGCATCCACAGAAGCACTGAGAATGTCCTTTGCCAAGGTGGCAGCTAAAATGCAGTATATTGACTGAACAAGTCAAGTAACAAGCAGTCACCTTGTCTTTTGATATATTTGGTAGCCTTAAATTTTTCTAAAATATGGTACTTTATAAATATCCTGTAAGATTCCTTCCTTTTTTTGTGAGTAGCATCTCCTTTGTAACTGTTTTAGGTGCCAGAGGTACAACCCATTCATCAGGTTTTACCAGCAGTGGGATCTCTAGTGGATCCCTGGCCTCTGACAAGATGTCCCAGGAGGCCAGATCTCATGGAGGTGGAATTCCCAGAGGCGGTACAACTTCCACTGTCCAGTCCATCTGTAAGTGAGAGTCTTCCTGAAAAAGATGAATTAAAAAATAACTTCTGAGAAGTCAGCAGTACTTCAGCTGAAGTGTACATTTACTAGATGAAGGGATGTAAATAAGAGAAGTGGCTACTTTGCAGCTGAAGCAACATTTCTCCTGTTTGTTGCTTTAAAGTTGGTGGGAAGATGAAACTGGGGAATTAGTGGAAATAACTATGCCATAAAGTTGCAAAGGTATGAGTGGACAGCAGAGACAGAAATCTGAAACACCCAGTGACAGAAAAAAAGCCCAAAATTCTCTTCATCACCCTGCCAGGTTAATGCAACCCATACCTAGATCAAACAAACCAAGGTATGAGGGAGCCTAGATTATATGTGAATGCATCAGTAAAGAAGCCAATTGTGGTAGTAGGAACATATGGGCTTACAAAGAGAATTGGAGACAGGATTGAAGTTCTTAATTTAAAAAAAACGTCTTTCTAAGCATAACACAGACCCTTGATTTCTGAACAGGGAACATTTTTAACCAATGCTTATATAGTTTGAATGTTTCCCTGTACTGCAATGTTGCTTTAAATTGTTCTCACATGTTTCTCTGTATTTGTCCTCAGCGATGGGTGGAAAAGGAGGAAGACGCTGAATTGAAGAAAAACATCAGTCCAGAAATAAGCTCCCCAAGCAGTTCATTCTTTACCAACAGCTTTGACAACTTCTCCTCTTCTTTTCTCTCCTCGTGACATAAAAGGCAAAGCCTCTTCCATGTGCACAAATAAAGTTTCTGTTAAAGTGATGGATTCTTGCATTAAATTAGTGGGGACAGACATGAGGGGCAGTTCCTTCCTTGATGAAGCATCCTCTGAAGCACAGGCATATACAAAGACAAGCCAAAGGAAGCTAAAGTACTTTGGACTGCAAGGCTGTCTTAGGAAAATCCTGGGTTTAGCCACACTAGAGTCTCCCAATACAAGTAGCTTGCTTTGTTTATTTTACGAAAAGTCATCATAGTGCAAAAGTCACCCTGTTGTGAGAGAGAAGCATAGAAACACTTGTAAGGGACATCCAGCAGTTCCATTTAGATCTACTTCTAGCAAGCTATCAAATTAAATTCTACTTAATAAAAATACACATAAGCAAATGAGAACAGGTCCCAAGAAATTTCATACCTCAGAGATGCGATTCATATTTGTATCCCGCTAGTGTTTCTAAGGTCCCTTTCACAACAATTTCAAGTGCCTGTTTGTTTGCTGAGAGGTCTCAGCTTTGTCCCAGTCAGACTCAAACTACTCCTATAAACTTCCGATACTTGAGAACAGACAGGGAAGAGACCTCCTTTTCTCTGTCACTGTTGGGGCTTTTTCCTGTTCCCCACACCTGACTCCTTTCTTTCATATGTACTCATACAATGATGTTTCCCCAAATACAAATAACATTGTCTGTTACCTACACAAATTCCCATATACACACTACCCCACATTTCCATATTCCTTCTGTCTTTCTGGCTCCTCACACTCCCTGCCCTATAACCTCCCTCTGTCATTCACTCATCTCACTCACTCATGGCTAGGCTTCACGAACAAAGATTTGGGGGAGGGCTCTACCCACGTTTGTTACAAGCGCACTGGTGGCTAAAAAGGCCAATACGGGATAGACATGTCTGGTTGCAAAAGGTACAGCAGAAAGACTCCCTAGGTGGTATATTCTGCAAGAAACGATTCTTTCTGCATTGTCTTTTCTCCTCGAGAGTGATTCTGCGTGCTTTCTCAAAGGAAGCAGCAGCGTTATAGATGGTGTGTCTCCAGACCTCCGGATTGGAGGCCAGAGTAGACCAGTTATGTTGATCAATATGGCCAAGGCTGAGATGTTGTTTCAGGGAGTCCTTGTATCTTCTCTTTGGGGCTCCTCTCTTGCGGCAGCCAGTGGCAAGTTCACCATAAAGCAGGATCTTAGGGAGGCGGTGGTTCTTCATCCTGGAGATGTGCCCTGCCCAATACAGCTGTGTTCTCAGCTACATGGCCTCAATACTTGTGACTGCTCCTTGTCCTAGAACAGATGTATTGGTCACATAATCTGACCAGTGGATGGTTAGGATTGTACAGAGGCAGCGCTGATGGAAGCGTTCTAGGAGTCACAGGCGGTGGCGGTAGATGACCCATGATTCAGATCCGTATAAGAGAGTAGACAGCACTATGACTCTGTAAACACTGATCTTTGTATTTTTCTTCAAGTGTTTATTTTGCCAAACTCTTTTATGGAGCTTTCCGAAAGCACTATATGCCTTTGCTAACCTGTTGTCTATCTCCCCATCAATCTTACCATCCAAGGAGATGAGGCTACCTAGGTAATTAAACTGCTGGACTGATTTGAGCTCTGATTCGCCAATGGTGATATGGGGATGATGGAAGACTTCCTGAGGTGCCGGTTGATAGAGAACTTCAGTCTTCTTTAAGCTGACTTCCAGCCCAAAGAGCTCAGCAGCGTCTGCAAAGCAGGATGTTAAATGCTGCAGTGCTGCTTCTGTGTGAGCAACAAGGGTGGCGTCATCAGCATACAGCAGCTCCCAGACAAGATGGTTTAAGGTCTTAATATGGGCCTTCATATTGACAACAGCTGGACTCTAGGGTCTGCGAATTTGATGCAGAAATGTGGGGCATGTGCTCTGAAATTGTATTTTAGATGTAATTTTCAGCCTTTCTTCTAATCTGCATCTATTTTCCTCTAGTATTTTTCCAGATCTTGGCCACGTCTTTACAGCAATGACTTCCACACATAGAATCATAGAATCAACCGGGTTGGAAAAGACCTCTGAGATCATGAAGTCCAACCCTTGAATGCCCCAGTCACCAAGCACAAGGCAAAAGGTTTGGCTGGACACAAACAATAGGATCTGGAAACTGGTGTCAACAGCCACTGGAGGGGAAAGGGAGGGAAAGGCAACTGATTTTACTCTGATGAAATTTTTGTTGCAACAGACTTATAACAGACCTGTCTTTCCCACCATCCCCACCAAAACACCCTCCAATTAAGCAATCCCCTTCCCCTCTTTCAAGCCTTCTCTGAGTCATCCTTAATCCCAGTTATGGCAGCAACCTCACAACTGCTGCAGGACATCAGCAGGATGCTGTTTTCCTCTGTTGCCTTGGCTTGCCCTCTGTGAGAGCTATATTGGAGCACTTTTGCTGGATTTAACTCTGCCTCACGACCTCAGGTCACCTCTAAAAGAGGCTGTGGCAGCTTTGTTGAAGAGTTACTGGGGTGTAGGTTGAGAAAGCAGGCTACATGCCCAAGAGCACAGCCAAATTTTTCTAAGGCACTTAGTGTTCCTCATTAGTGCTGGCTGCATCAAAGTTCTGTCCTCTCTTTACACAGGAAGAAAGGAGCATAAGGTCAGTGTAAGACAATGGGATTTTGACTGAACAGCTCTCTTTTTTTTTGTCTATTTACTGCAGACTGAAGGATGTGGGCTAGTAAAAGGCTAAGGAGAAGGTGCATCCTGTCTTTATTGATTGTTGTAGATGACCATTGATGCAGCTTTTACAGCTTTGTCCAACCAGCACAATAAAAATAAAGGCATTGAGAATCCAGATACTTGTGCCTTGGTGCATACATGCAAAGATGGACCCAGCAGTTTGCTGATCTTTAAGTCTGGGCTAGTATATGGCTCTAATAAACCATCCTACACTTTCCTCCCAAGGTCTAATGCAGCAGCCCATGAAATACAGCAGATCTTTCTTCCCTCTATGTCCTTAGCACTGGCTTGAGTTGGAGCAAGAAGGTCTGTCCTGACTTTTTCCCATTCAGAAATTCCCCCCATGTGCAAACGTCAAGTTGTGGTCCCAGAGAACAGCAGGGACCTTGATTCTCACAGGCAGACATTCAAACAGCTGCTTAGCACTGATGATGCTAAAATGAGTCATACGAATGAAACCAATGTAAGAATAAGAAGAAATAGTAGAAAAAGTCAAGTAATACATAACTCATCAGACAAACAGTTTTGTAAATTGAAGCTGTATTACCGTAGAAAAAATGTGTGACAATTTCATGGCAATTAAAGACCTTGTTTCTTATTCAGAGGGGGGAGATTTAAAACTGGATTTCAACTTTAATGTCGTCATTACTTGACCTCAGGTGTTTTTGTCTCATCAAAAAAATGACTCACGTTAGTGAGAGCTGAAAGAAGGTACTTATGCCTAAACGAAGGAAACCAAAGCAAAGATCCGTAATCATGTACCATTTCACTTTTCAGCACTGATGTAATTGTGGTCTTACTAGTTTAAGTTATTTTCCCATCTTTAGATCTTGTCTTGAGAACTAGCCTAGATAGCTTTACCAAAGCAGGGAGCATCCTCAGCTGCAATTGAATTCCTTTCACTGAGTCAGCGCTAATAGGTCTGCAGGAGAACAAAGGTACGCGCATCCTCCTGGAAGCCTTCCTCGCAGACGGCTTCAGCAAACTCGTATGTACATTACTACAAATGAATTATTTACATATTTAACAGAATATAATTGAAAAGGTCAAATAACAACAAATATGGCAATTTGAATCCCTTATGTCTCTCAATCAATCTTTCCACAACAAATAGACAGAAAGAGAGAGAAAGGGAAAGAGGCAGCTGTGTGTGATTACCAGAGCAATAGCGCTGGAGCAAGACACTGCAGAAAACAGCATAGCTCTCCGCACAAAAATCAATTTCTCCCATGGGATGGGGTCGATAGTTGTCTGACAGGACACTATGCAGGCAATTTAATAGCATTTTATCTAAATGAATCTATTCCTCCCCCCAACTGGCCTCACAGTTCATAAGAAGTCTCTCTTAGTAAAATATATTTATTTATTATTGTAATACAACAGAAAAGTATTTATCATTCTGAAGCCACTGCCATTGTCTATTAAAAATCATTTATCCATCTAAGTTATTCATTAGCCAATGTTACCCAACTATTATTCTAATTTGTTAACTCATGCATGCAGCCTATAAAAATCACTTTCATTTACTCTGGAAAATCTTTTCTTACCCCAAATATTTGAACCTATAGATCAACATTTCAAGAAAAATAAGCCCAAAAAGGAGACAAACTCAGTTAACTTAAAGGAGTATTGATATCCGAATTGACATTTTTATGCAAGAAAAAGTCTTATGATTTGAGGAATGATTTATACACAGAGATTGGTTGTCCAGTCTATCTATTTTAACAGTACTTAATAAATAATAAAGTCAATCTGATCCTATTAGTGGGTATCTGTTTTAAGTAAATGATAATGAATTAAAAACCCTAATAAGCATAATTCCAAGGATGGATCTTTGGCACTCTGGGAGTTTGGTATTGTGCCCCAAAGGCTCTTGTAAATCCAGCTGCAGTTCTTGCTCATCATTTAGAAGATTAGGGGCTGATAAGCGACAGTCAAGCCTTATTAGAACAGGCTAAGGCAACAGGAAACATTAATTGGGTAATTTAATGCACAAGGAGAAAATAAATTCCTGCATTGTGGTTCAGATGCTGTTTCCTCTATTGATTTGTTCAAGTCTTGTTCTATGAAATTCTTACAAATTCTTGGAGGAGAGAGTGTAAGAGAAAGCCTAAGTTTAAAAATATGAGAACAATTTTGTTATTTCCCAGGGCTTCCCTTTATCCTTTGTTTTACTAAGGGACCCATCAGTAGCCCAGCTCTTGGAAGCAAAAGAATGAAGAATATTCCCTTGCCCAAGGACTCTTCCAACAAGGGATAGGAGAGATCCAAGGTCTAACAGCTATCTGCAATGAAATGCTGCTTACCATCTTACCTGTGTTATG